GTGAGTTTAATTATGAGGCAGTTTAAGATGTGGTCTGCTAAAAAAATGGCAAACTTGGCCTAAGTCACCAGATGTAGAACACTAGCCTCTCTCCAGTTGAAGTGCCCAAATAGTTAATTTAAAGCAGCAGAATAATTGCTCCTATTTTTAGGACACAAAAAGAGAAGGAGCCAGCAACTAGAATTGTCATGATGGTGAAGACTTCATCCTATGCTTTTTTGTGTGTGTGTCAGTTAAAAGCCATGCCTGAGAGTCTTCAGCACAATATTGTAGGCACACATGTAAGAGGAGTTTGGCTCAAATGCCCATTGCAACAATGTCTTGAACATCTTATTTTGTGACTGTTGATGCAAAATGCATTACCTTTCCTAAGAGTAAGAGGATCTGAATTCTGCAATGGAATTCAAACCCAGCTCGTGTGTATGGGACAATGTATATCCCATATGTATGAGCTCAATGTATGTGGGACATTGCATGAATTCAGGCCACTCTAAAAGGTTGCAGCATCACTAGTTTGATGACATCTATATGAATTAAAATGTCTGTCACTCTTCTATATAGAAAAAATACTCTCTCCTTTAAGTGAGAAAAATGCTCTGGTCATGCTTTATGAGAAGGAAATTAATCTGTTTTGCGTGATGCATTGCGCTGAATTCTGCAAATACTGCAGGAGCAACTGTAGGACTGCCCAGAAGAAAACTTTGTACAATGAGGGAATTGTAAACAGCAACCACCCCTTCCTCTCCTCCAAGTATCCACAGAGACATTCTGGTGTGTCTTTGGGATTAGACAGGTGTTTCAAAGATTTTGCTCTCAGATTGAGGGATCTGCATGACCTACATATCATCTAAATCCTGTCTTAGATATTCATAACCTTGTTTGGACCTCAGTCCAGAGCTAGGTCTTTATACTTTAATAAGCAACTGGAAGAACTATTGATTACATAAACACATGCAAGCTGCTAAGGGTAAATGTTTCAGAATGCCCACAACTGGAGAGCACAGCAACTGAGTTAACACAGACATAGTATACAAAATTAAATGTGGAACAGACTTCGGAAAACACTTAATCTCCAGAGGCAAAAACCCCTAATAAATTCATGAACTTTTACATATGGATCATTTCTCATACAGATGTTTTCTTGCTGGCAAGATAATGAGCTTACATTTGTCAAAAGTAAGAAATCTATTTTAGAAAGACACAAAATACAGTGAGTACGAACTCTTCACTCAGCAGACTTAAAGGCCAAAACTGTTGCTTGGACTTTGAAGAGGTATTACAAAATAAGCACCAACCCCAAAAACCTTATGCTTTCAGGTTTCATAATTCAGAATGTCTGCTCAAATGTAGCCACCTGTCTATTGTTTTGCTGTCTACCTTAGTGTTCTTCTATACAGGCAGCAAATCCCAATCGGTCTGTTTTCGCTACACAAATGCCTGAGATTAGTGACTGCAGAGGCAAACAGAATCAGTTTAAATCCTGTAAGACAAGTGAACGATATTACTTCACAAGTATGAAATCTGAGATCTCTTTGCCTTTGATTTAAAAAACCTGTACCTAATAATCACATTAAAGTCTGTTTGGCATGCCAGACAGCTTTTACTTCCTCTATTATTTTTACAATTTGAACATCCTTTGTAGTTACTGAAATTAATTTATGCCTTTCAGCAAATATTTTTTTTAAAACTTTTTATCTATAAAGGTAGGTATAGTCAAGTACAATATAATTCTATAATTTTATATCTAAGTGCTTTTTCTCAATTTTTGAATTCAGCAAAAGCTGACAATCATTATTATAAAGCTTCATAAGGCTTAGCATTTTTCAAATCAAAATTTTGTAGAAATAGTAGTCTTGAAACTCCATTCCATTCATTATTTATACTACGTTACAGGATGTTCACAGTGATTAGGAAATTCAAACATAACTTTATTTTGCTTTAAAATGTCAATTATTTCCTTCAGTATTGGAGGACAGGAATAAGAACTAACCCCGGAGCAACAAATTCAGCAAGGAAAATGGGTCAAAGAACAGATGTTTGAAGGATGACAGAGAGCAGTGGTACAGGTAACCAGGTCAGCAGGCAGGAACCCTGATTAGAGCTAACTGAACTTCACTTCCCTTTCATAATCAAAACACTTGAAAAATCTAATTTCTCACACCAGCCAATAGCAATAAAAATTACTTTAAAAGCTGTAGAAGCTTTCAGTTGTGAAAGCAGTAAGAATTCATTACACTAAATCAGCTGAAAACCATCTTTATGTAAAAAGATTGCTAAATTCCCAATATGAGCATACTGAAGTGACAATCAGCAATTCAAATAGTTAAACGTACTGATTAAACAGGTACAACAACCTCCTCCATTTTGGACTGATTATCCATTGGCTGTTAAAAGATAAACATCCTATATTTAACATGACAGAAGTTAAAGGAATAACCCTTCTTACAGTACATCTGCATCACAGCGGCAAGCTTACTCTAGCTCTGAGCTGAAAAGCACAGGAGTATGTTGCAAAGGTATTTATGCTGGTTATCACACGAGGAAGCAAAAAGAGAAAGAGTAGAGCTGAATGAGCTCAGGAGCACTACAGCATGGACATAGCTGTTCAGTGTTGGATTTTGGCTGGCACTTTCCCAGTGGTCTGCATCACATTGTCTGGATGTACCCTGTTTGGATGGGGAATCTGGGAGAAAGATCTATATAACGGGCCTTATACTAATCCTTATTTGTGCAGTATTTTGGGAAATAATTAACAAACGTCTAAGGACCTCCAGTTTGAAGATAATTAGAAAAGGAAAAAAAAAAAAAATCTGAAAGAACACTTTGTTAGGTTTTAGTGAAACAGTCAAGCTAAGATATATGCAGTGATTACTAACCAACTACGATGACTATCTGGCTTTAATTTTACATTTTTTAAAATGAGCTCACACATGCTTCCAATTGTAGGGAAGGTTTTGTTTCTTCCTTCTTTCCTCCTAGATAGCTTGCACTTGCTAGTCTAATCACAGACCATATGAAGAGAAGGACCTAACCTCAGGCTCAATCATTACATTGATGCTGTTTCTTGCAGATGTTTGTGTAACCTGTTCTTACAGGCCTGCAAATATGGAGACTTCACAGCAGCTTATTCCACTGCTTTGCCATCTCCATTGTAATACTTTGCCTCTCAATGTCTAACTCTGCAGCCTGTGACAAAGTCTGAGGTAATTACTTTTTGCCCTATAAAACTCATACACAAAACCCTTGTTACAATTCTTCTTATGCAGATGAATACTTACATCCTCAGTTCATATTTTCTTTCAGTTCAACAACATGAATTCCTTCACACTCTTT